ACCCAGCGCGCTGCCATCGCGCACTCGGGCCGGGAGCGCCCGCCGCCGGCCGGCCGGCCGGTCCCCGGGCGCTCGGGGCCTTCCGCCCCCCGAGGCGTGGGAAAGGGAAGGACCCATGCCTCGGGCCCTGCGACCCCTTCGCAGCCAGACGAGACGGCGGCCGCCTGCTCGGGCGCCGGGCTGCAGGAAGGGAAGTCAGGTCCCCAGTGCTGGGAGCCAGAGGGGTGCACATCGACCTACCCAAGACACTTGCCAGGGCTGCGGCTGTAATTCGCAACGGGACTTCCCTGATATGTCAGGCGATGCTGATCTGTCCATGATGTTCCTTAATCTAAAGTCACACTCGTCGGAAGAGCCTGTGGCCCTCACGACTACGAAGTGCGCTCTCTCAGCCTTACTCTTCTACAGAAATGACTGGACGGTTCCTCATAACCGCGTGCTTTTCCTTCAGAGGAGCCACCACCCCACATCCCCAAATTAAGGAAAAACATAGTCGGTGCATCCGGATAAGGAGCTAACCATATAATTATGAGAAACTCACAGGTTTTAAGAACTGAGTTACAAAATGGTGCATTGAAGAGAGGAGGGAACTCAAGATGGGGAGGGCGGGTATTTTCAAACGTTTCTTTTTAAACCCAAGGCACTGTAAGGACAAGGGTAGAAAACTAGACGGCAAGGGGTTTGTCTCTGAAATCGAGAAGGCAAAAAGGCGTCGTAGATGCTGCACAAAGTAGAGAGAGCTAGATAAAGAAGGGTTGTGGGGCGTCCTTGTAAAACCCCAGCAGGAACCCAACGTCTAAAACCTCTGGCCGGCAACGCGGACTTAAACTCGGAACGCAATTTCGGCAAGCGCAGTTTTCCCGCCGGAGCTCGGGTCTGAGCAGTCTTCCTCCTGCGCAGGCGCGGTACCACTTACGGAGCATGGAAGCGGCGGCTTTTCTGTGCTTAGCAGCGGCGGTCCTAGGATGGGGCTTCCTCTGGGTTTGGGACTCTTGGGAACGCATGAAGGGTCAGAAGCCGGCTGGCTTGCCGGGAGATGGAAACAGGACCCTCCTGGTGATCGCGCACCCCGACGATGAAGCCATGTTCTTTGCTCCCACTGTGCTAGGCTTGGCCCGCCTGAGGCACCGGCTGTCTTTGCTCTGCTTCTCTGCAGGTAGGAGGCTGTAGGCGGGGCGCTGGGAGCCGGGACTAGGAAGGGTGTTCAGCTGCTAACCTGTTTCAGTCGGCTTCTTCCCCGAAGGGTTCTCTGATGTAGGGAGCTAAGTGAATACACCGAAGGTGCCTACTGTGGGCACTTCGCGGAGAATCGGTGGCCCCAGCCTGTGGACTGTAGCGGCCAGCTTCCCAGGTGGGTTGGGGGACGTCCCCAGCTTAACATACTTCACTGCCTGCAGAATTTAAGAGCCCAAGAAAGCTGCTCACATTTCGTTCCCTTTCAATACCTACATTTCCGCTGGGAACTGCGACTGTACTCCTTATTCTGGGGAACCTTTTTATATGCTAAATGGACCAAGAATAACCTTGGCTCCTACTGTGGGACACCAAACAGAAGCTAAGCTGTATCATGCCTGCTCAGCCCTTAAAGTTGTACTACTCAAGGGAGCAACGGCCCTTCCTGCTGCTTTTAAAAATCCATTTTGTTTAAGAAACATGCGTATGTCAAACTGAAGAGATGCTCAGAGCATTAGACTAGAAAATAATTTCATAGGCAATTTTAGAGTTCAACTCCACCAACTACCAGTGAAGAAGCCTTTCAAAAAGTAAATCCTCCTTTACCATACAGAAAAGATGGACTGAGAAAACAAAAACTGACCATGATACTGGATAATGGAGATAATTGCACGACTGTATAAGTGTAATTGAACTGTACACAGACAATGGGTGAATTTTACGTATGTAAAATTATACCTCAATAAAGCAATTTTTTAACAAATGCCCATGACCGCCCATTTGGTTGTGTGTCATTGCAGTTTTTTCTACACAGATTTTTTTTTCACAGAAACCTCATTTTATACAATTTTATGTTTTTCACTGAACATTATTTTTCACTCGTTTACCGAATTTTTATTAAAAATGTGTGAACACCGCACGCTATTAGAATGGCCAGAATCCATCACCCTGACACCACCAAATGCTGGTGAGGATGTGGAACAATGAGAACTCTTACTCATTGATGGTGGAAATGCAATAATGCTTCAGCCATTTTGGAAGACTGTTCGTTTGGCAGTTTCTTATAAAAACTAAGCATGTTCTTACCAAACCATTTAGCAGTCGCCCTCTTTGGTATTTACCCAAAGGAATTGAAAACATGTCCACACAAAAACCTGCCCACAGGTGTTTATAGCAGCTTTACTCACAATCGCCAAAACTTAGAAGCAACCAAAACGTCCTTCAGTTAGTAAATAGTTGGTACATCCAGGCCATACGATATTATTCAGCGCTAAAAAGAAATGAACTAGCAAGTCATGAGAAAACACGGAGGAACCTTAAATGCGTATCAATAAGTGAAAGAAACGAATCTGAAAAGGCTACACACTGTATGATTCCAACCATATGACATTCTGGAAATGACAAAGCTATATAGACAGTAAAAAGATCAGTGGTTGCCAGGGGTTGGGATGGAAAGAAGGATGGATAGGAGGAGCACAGAGGATTTTTCTATGGCAGTGAAAATACTCTATGTTATTATAATAATGGATACACGTCATTATAAACCCATAAGATGTACAACACCTAATGAGTGTATAATACCTAAAGAGTGAATGAAACCTAGTGTAAACCATGGACTTTGAGTGGTTATGATGTGTCAATGTAGGTTCAATTGGGGATATATGTAAAAATCTCTATACCTTCCCCCCAATTTTGCTGTGAACCTAAAACTGCTCTCAAAAGAATAGTTTAAGGGGCACCTGGGTGGCTCAGTGGTTTCAGCATCTGACTTCGGCTCAGGTCATGATCTCCCAGTTCCTGGGTTCGAGCCCTGCCTCGGGCTCTGTGCTGACAGTTTGGAGCCTGGAGCCTGCTTAGAATTCTGTGTCTCCCTCTCTCTCTGCCCCTCCCGCACTCATGTTCTGTCTCTCTCTGTCTCTCAAAAATGAATTTAAAAAAATATTTTAAAAATCAATAAATAAATTCTAGTTACTTAACATATAGTGTAATAAAGGTTTCAGGATAATAGCCTTTTAAATGGTTTTCATAGAGGTAAACCTTAATTTAGTCATCCCTTTATTGTATGCATATTTAGATGTTTTTTCTTCCCCAGTTTATCACTATTACAGATAACAGTGAACATCTGTATGTATTTCGTTTTGTTTCGATAGGACTGATTTCTAAATTTGGCTATTTCAAGGCTTTGCATGCAACTTGCATCCCCAAAACATACCAAATTATATTCTCACTGACAGGTAGTAAGATTATCTGCCTTAACACAACATGCTCTCTAGCACTGATTAGCATTTTTTTTTATATTACTTCTTGGTATAACACTTTATCCCCTCAAAATCTTTTTGTTGCCAATAAGATTAACCCATTTTTCATATTTATTGAGAATATGGATCTAAGCACTTTTTTTCTCAGCTTGTCCTATTAAGGATATTAACTGTAGACGGATATAGGTTATGGCCTCGTTTGCTTTTAATGGTATTTATGTTTTATATTACAACTGTGGGAGTCAAATTATAACAAATTTGTTCCAAGATCTATGAGAGAAACCTGGGTTTTATTTTCCAAGTATTATAGGGGCGGTGGCTTCCTTAGTAAATTTCTCCTTATTTTTCAGCAGGTTGAGTCAGAAATTAACATTTTTTGAAGAGAAAAATTATAAAGCATGCCCTTGGTACATATTAAACACACAGAATCTTTGTCTTTCAATGTTTCCTCTGAATCGAACTTGGCATTTAAATTGTTCTCTCTTTGGGGACCTGGATGGCTCAGTCGGTTAACAGTCCAACTTTGGCTCAGGTCATAATCTCGCGGTTCGTGGGTTTGAGCCCTGCGTCGGGCTCTCTTGTAATTTTCTCTTGTAATTTCCGCATTGTTCTCTCTTGTAATTTTTAAATTACTTTTACTTTTTTTAAATTACTTTTAAAATCCCAAACTCATTCAGAAATGTACAGATTCAACATCACCCACACTCCTAATTTATTTTAACATGAAAAACAGGCAACTAATAACTTGTGATTCAACATAGTAAAAGCTGTAATGGCATAATAGAGAAAACTATAGACACAAAATGGCGAAAAGTATGAATTCTCATCTCAGGGTTTAAGATTAAAGAAACTTCTCCAAAGAGGTTTTCTTTCAAGCTCGTCTTTAAAAATAGGGCTAGGTAGGGGAGACTGGGTGGCTCAGTTGTTTAAGCCTCTGACTTCAGCTCAGGTCGTGATCTCACAGTTCATGAGTTTGAACCCCAAGTCGGGCTCTGTGCTGACAGCCTGGAGCCTGCCTCGGATTCTGTGTGTGTGTGTGTGTGTGTGTGTGTGTGTGTGTGTGTGTGTCTCAAAAATAATAAACATTAAGATTTTTAAGTAACCTCTAGACCCAACCTGGGTCTCAAACTCACAACCCCGAGGTCAAGAGTTACACGCTCCACCAACTGAGCCTGCCAGGCGCCCCTATATGGCTGTAGCCTTTATACACCATTATCTGGTATGATGAGCCCTCTGATCTGTTGTTCTTTAGGGCATGTTTGCTATTTCTGACCTTTTTTCTTCCAAATACATTTCAGAATAAGTTTGGTCGTGTTCAAGGAAAAGTGCCTGGCATTTTTATTGGGATTTCACCAACTCCGTTGATGAGTAAAGGGAAAGCTAACATATTTTCCATATAGTCCTTCCCATCTATGATTTTATAGTCTGTCTTCATTTACATTGGCCTTCTTTAACGTCTGTTAAATCGGTTTATAATAAGTCATATATGTATCGAGATGATTAGTAATTCTTTTCTTTAATCTGTTTCTCATATCCAGAGGCTCTCGTTGCAAATATTGTAGTTTTGTTACATTCTCATAGTTTGATGCTCTCTTTATTTCTTTAAACATATTAAATACATCTATCTGCTTCTAATAAATCCAGTGTTTGCAGTCTGTGTGTCTGATTTTGCTCTTTGAGTAACTTATTCTGAGTACCTTGTTTCCAAGTGTATTTTGTGTTTTTTTTTTTTTCCATTGTGAGCACATGTTTCTTGGAACCATATTTATGATAATATTTGGGTGATTTATATTTGCTTCAGTCAGGCACCAAAGGGCACTATCTGCCTTCAATCACTATAAACCAAAATTTTAGATTGAGATTTTTTTCAGGCTACAGGGGTAGTATAAATTTAGGGCCCAAACCGAAGTGTGTTAGCTGTCTAATGCTGCATAACAAATTATCTCAAAACCTAGTGGCTTAAAATGATAATTATTCCTTCTCGCTCATGGTTCCAAACCGAGCACAGTAGTCTCTACCCCACAATGCTCAGTACCTCAGCTGGCCAACCCCAAAGGCCATCGGCCACAACAACAACATATGGTAAATCCGTGTGGCTTGGGCTTCTTCTCAAGCTGGTAGCTGGGTTCCTGGGCAAGAACCGAGAGAGAGCGAGCCTGTGCTGGGGGTAGCCACATTGCCTTTTATGGTCTAGCCTTGGAAATCAGGCAGTATCACTTTCACCACGTTCTGTTTGTCAGGACAGTCATAGGTCCCGTCCAGATTCAAGGAGAGAAATAGACTCAACCTGTTGATAGAGAGCAGCAAGGTTCTCTAAGTGCATGTGGGACTGGAAATATTGCAGTAGCTATTTTTGGAAAACACCATGCGCCACACCAAGTGAAGACAAACATGTAGTTAACAATTCTCAAGGGGTTGACATTTTTCTTTCCCTTTACACTAGAAGCAGGTCTGACAGAAACCTGTCACCATCTCTGTCTAGAGTGAGTTTTTTTCTAGTTCCCCTGTTGTAAACATTGCCTTTCAAAGGTCCTGTCTTTGTGTAGAGGTCTCCTTATTTGTGCCCAATCTTTATCTCCTCCTCTGACTTTAAGCCATAGACAGATACCCTCAAGGCACCCTGGCTTCAGGTGCCCTCCACCTGTCTGGATTTGTGCTTACCTGTTATTTAAGACCTCCAAAGATAGCCCTTACTTTCCTGCTAATTTAGCCATACATTCTAAAC